ATGTTAGATATGTTACAAGACACAGGTAACCCGAACTATCTATAAACATACACAGGTAATCCAAACTATACGATTACAATATATGATAACACTACAATATTGACGTCCCATGTCTTCATTCGAATCAGCCTGCCTTTCATAGTCCTAGCGAAACAGCCCCGCTTCGAAACTTAAGCACCAGAATTATGCTTTTCTCCCTCAACCGTATCACTCCATGTCCGCTGTTGACCTTTGTGCCTTCCGGGCACAAGAATTCTCCCAATCTGTCTCTCAGCCAATTTTCACCTCATATGCAGAGTTCTTCTTAGCAATATTTTTTAAATTATCGGCTTGTTTTGGATTCTTTTCCACACCATCACCTAAACTGTACATTCTACTAACATTAGCACAAGCGCTAGCCTTTATAAGCTTTTATAAAATAACTTTTTTTATTCTAAAATATGGCTTAGATGGCTTAAAACTTTTGAATTCGAGTATAATTTTTATGATCAAAACTAGGTTTCTCCTTACCTCAAATATTTCAATGGCTTTTTCAATCAGCCAATTACAGTTCACGTTTTAACGAAAGACGAAGTTGCCGGCAGGTTTGACAAAATGTGAAAAAACCGGCGGGCGACTTTCTTTCTTTCTTTGTGCATCAAAATTGTTTTTTTTAGTGACCTTAGATGAATCATAAACTAGGTGTTCGTTGAGGAGAAAGGGTGCCTGTCTGTCAAAAGGTCAACTGGACACAAAAAAATTGGAAAAAAAGTGGGTAAAACCAGCAACGGAATGTGTGCTGCTTTCGCTGAATGAAAACTTTTTACATCTTCGTCGATTCACTGATTTGAAGTAAAGCTTTATGTTTATACGTTTCCTTTCAGAATTGGTATGGAAATGATATAAAGATGAGATTTTTTGAAAAACTGCAGGAAGATACTTGCTGAAAGACTTTGTTTTGACACTTTAAATGATATGTTTGATTAGCCGCTTCGACGTGCCGGCACTTAAGCATCACCGACGAAAAATTCACAAAGCCACAAATAATACATGAAAGCATTGGTCGTATGAACTCCGTTTCATGGATAAGAAGGTGGAATTCATGTTCATAGATATTTTTTATTGAACTGGTATCTGGTAACAATATCAAACTGAAGGTAATGTTATGCGAGCGATGCAAGAACTGCAATGACACCAAAAAAATTCGGCCCAAAGCTACAAATAAAGACCTTGGTGGGATAAATTACGTTTAATAAATAAGCTGGTATTCATGTTTTTAGGTTGAACTAGTAGCTTGTTTATCTTGTGCTAGTACGTAACGAATTTATAAAGAGACTCATTATGAACAATCGTTGAACTGAAAGAAATCTCGATTCTCAAGCGCAAATCGACAAATTCTTGCAATACTTTTCTTATGTAGTATCTCAATAAAATGCAAAATACTCACTATTAAATTCCTCAATTTTTAGCTTCATAGAAAAATGTAACTTGCTTTCCACACGCTATTTACAATAATAAAGGTGCAGTTAAGCTTATTACATATTTGATTTTTTACTTCCAGTTTCAAGTTGCTTTGTTTATCTAGTTTATACCGAAGATTCCATGCACTCAAAACCTACAAGAAATAGTAAAACATTATGCAGAATACTCATAACTAGTTGTTACCAAGTTTTCGGATACATTTTTGTATAAATAGCTGCATTTTTTCCTATTCTACTTCTAGTTTTCAATCGCACTTGACAAAAAATGGTGACGTCAAAACCATGTTTATACTCTGATACAAACACGGCAGTCGGTCAATCAGAACGCGCGTAGCATCCAAATTATTGTATAAAGTTCATTATTAATTGCATCACGCAGTGGTTACATTAGCGTATGTTTGCAGGCTCTGGTAAACACTCGGGTGATTACGTAAGGCTTGGTAAGTGTGCTGATCATTACGTTCACTAGCCCCAACGCTTCGCACTGGTTCGTATGTTGGTACGGCATCAGCAGGGCTTTGCAGGGTGCAAGGGTTAAGTTGCTGATAATGCTCTTGATTTGGATCCCTGGTCCTAGCACTTGACTGATTCACTGTTTTAGGCAAAGATGTCATTCCCAGGGCATGGGCATTCTGTAAACAACATTTGATAAAGAATCATCATGAAGAATGAATCATTATTATTTTTCGCGTAAACAAAGAAAAGTCAAGATTGCGTTCCTTTGGTTTTTGAGGTTATTTACATACTTGTGCAAATCAGTATGCCTGATTTAGTACCATGTGACCGTTTCATGCAAAAGAATCATTCTTTTTAATTACCCCTAAAACCTATACGACGATTATCACCGCGTATCGATATATGTGAGTCTCAGGACTTTTTAAAGTGAAAAAAGAAAGCGTTTGAAATAAATATACGCTTGTTATTGTTTAGTTATAAACATGGTTTGTTGATTGGGCTCACACACAAAAATCACTAATAACGACACTGCTCAGCTCGTATTCAGAGGCTGCCTCATCTACTTCTCTTAGCTTACTTTGATAAGCACATACTATTATGAGTTTTACTACAGATGTATTAATTTCACAATGTCATTTTCTTTAAAAAAACATATGTAAGAAAACAAGTGTCATATACTCACATAGTAAACTGCCTCTTCTTTACTGAAAAGAGGAAAAATGAAATAGAAATTAAAGGAGAACTCCACTATACCTTAACCCTACTTATTTGATTGATTGAAAATCCTTGTAAAAGATTAACAAGGGATTTTGGCGCATATTCAAAGACAAGAGAGAAAAATGCGTTGAAACTAGAGAAAATTATCAACATGAATGCCACCATCTTGACAGGCTTGTATATCAGTGGCAACTACCATGGTGACGTAAATGCACGGCAAAGGGCGCGAAATTAAGTTCAAAACAAAGTGTTTGTTTGCTATTTTTGTAGTTTAGATCCAGTTTAGTACTTTAAAATAACTTTTGTCTATGACAAGAAAAATGCCACACTGCATGGTACCAGGATGCAATAATGGATCAAGAAAGACAAAAGGGACATGAATTCATACTTGAAACATTATATTTTCCCTCTGATAAGGGACTGTGCAATAATTACCAGGAAGGGGGGGCATTACATAAAATAGTCCTTTTGCAGCTAGGGGTCACGTGACCACACCTACCTTAAATCAATCGGCTATCACAAAATGATGTTCAGAAATGGAAAGAGGAGATCAAAATAAGTAAGAAGACAAAGTTTCAAGTCTCAACTCTAAATACTTCAAAAATGACAGCAAATATAAAATCATTTTTTTTTAAAGAAACATATGAAAAAACAGGACTGGAGAGCAAGCCTTGCTCTCCAGCTCTATTTTTCCATACGTTTCTTAAGAAAAATCAATATTTTACATTTGCTGTCATTTTTGAAGTATACAGAGTTGAGGCTTCAGACTTTGCCATGCCATTTTACCAACATAAACCTGCTCTGTCCATTTTTGAACAGCATTTTTTGATAACTGATTGATTTAAGTTAGGTGTGGTCACGTGACCCCCAGCTGCAAAAGGCCTATTGATGGCAAGATAGGGGGGCTCAAAGTAAAATTACCTAATTAACAGAGGGGGGTCTTAAGTTTCATTCAAAATTTTCATAGTTTTCGATGTCTCTCAAAATGCTGGAAATCGCATTTCCAAGAGTTATTTCTTTCAAATTTTGAAAAAAAGATTCAAAACTTTCTGGGGGAGGACCACACTCCCTTAATAATCCCGCCTTGGCGCTACTCACAGATCCAAAATATATGTCGCGGTCCCTGACATGTGTATAAAAAGTCCACGCTACGCGACTGACTAATGGAAATCTAAATTCAAAGACTCGCTGATCAATGTGTGATTGAAATTGACCAAGATATGAATTTTTTTGTCAACTATTGATTTTTTTCAATTTGTCACATCCATCGAGGATGTACCTTAGTTTTCACATAAATTGAAGATGTAGAAGCTGAAAACATATTGATGATTTTTTAGACATAACAACAAGCACGGTAATATAAGTAGTCGTTTTTGACCATAAAAACGTTACATAAGCTTTTTTTTGGACCTTGAAAACCTTTTCCAGGAACAAAATTATTTGAAACAAGCAAGGGCACCACATTTGCTTGTCAGTGTCTTTACACTTAGGTCCAGATGAGTAAGCCACCTCTTGCATCTGGGTTCGTCTTTAGTTAATTTTACGTTGCTACAGTTGACTCGACTCGATTGTGCCTGTTTTATAACTAAGGCTAATAGTTGCGGGGGGGGGTTTCGACGTTATTTTAACTAATTTTCTGCTTAAGAAATCTGGTTTTACCCCCCCCCCCCTTCCTAGTAATTATTGTGGCACAGTCCCTAAGTGTCAAGTTCTGTGTTTTGCTAACATGATTCGCGCAATTGCGTCACCATGGTAGTGAAGTGGAGTTCTCCTTTAAGGACAGATTGAATAAATTTCAAGTCAGTCGCCAGTATATTCTATTGCTTTTTGCTTTAGTTTACTTTATTGCAAATATCAATTTACTGAAACTTACATCGATTTGACAGAGGAAAATTATATGTGAAGCTGTAAAATATTTTTCTTAACGTTAACCTTTCGTAGCTTTTTTGGTACTTACTTGTCATTTTTCGGTTTATTAGTCCTAAGTTTCCATGCGATGAAAACTACAAGCAGTATGATGACCAGTACTGAGAGTGCAAGGATTGCTGCCAAAACAGCAACTTTTGTAGAGCCTAGGAATCATAAAAGGTACAAAAATATATTGGCTTTGGTGAATATAGTTAGCAACAAATAAAGAGAAATACAGAAGTTAGCTGTTGAGGTTATATTCATCTTATAAGCACCTCCTCCCTCCACCGAAAAATGGTAAAGGTAACTATGCGATTACGATGGACAWCTTTTTTGATTTGATACCATTATCCAGACAAACGAAACATATTGGACAACTTATCAATTCTTAATCGAAGAAAAAAATCAAATAAGCATATAAAGCAAAATCCCCTATCACAGTTGAGCTATGCAGATTTCTCATTCTGTAGTTTAATAGTTAACTATCAAGTGATTTTTAAATGTTTTGCAATATTTTGACTAAAGTATCACAATGAAGGGCGCTACAGTCCAAACGGTGGAAAACAACCCATCCGATAAAAAAACGTTTGTATTATTTTGTTAGTCCAAGAGTTTTCGTGACAGTGTGGTGCATTCTTTAAAGAGTAATCTTACAATTGCATTCTTCACACGGGTGGAGCCTTGAACCACTTCTTGATGTTGATGCTGTAACAAAATGACCAGAGCATAAGATTTTGAGTAGACATACTTATACGTTATTTATAACTTGTAAATTATAACTATATATCGGTTGCAAACAGATCCCAAACGAAATAATAAGTTTATCAAAATTTATAGACTAAGGATCATTCATTATTCATGTGGGATGCAGGCAAGAGTTCATGAAAGGGCATTAGAAATATGCCAACAAAAGGCTAGATATCCATAGGGGACAATTATTTTTGTTCTTTTTCTTTTAAAAAATGAGTGAGTCGAGAGGTTTTATTTTACTAAAAAGACGCCGTTTGACACTAGACAGCCCTTGGTATAAATAATCAATGGACCCTTCTATGGACATTTAATGAGCAAGAAATGGAGATTTCATTTCTATTGACTTACCAATAGCACTTGTTGAGGGGTGAGGAGTAGTGGTTTCAACAGGTAATGTCACGGTTATCCTATTAACATCCATCAAACTGCTTCCATCTTTATTTTTCGCAGTGACATGAAAGCTGTACGTCTTGCCTGGAAGAAGGTCTTTAACAGTGTATGTGAGTGGATCACCTGAAAGTGTGCCAACCTGCAACCAATCGTCATCCCCAGCAAGTCTCTTGTAGATTGTGTAGTATTCTATTTCACCTCCATTTTCTTCTGGTTTTGACCAACTTAATATCACTGTTGTAGGACTTACTCTAATTATTTTCAAAACAGGTGGACCTGGTGGTCCTAAATTAAGACAAACAACAATAAAAAAATATAAATGAAAAAAAGCTTCTGCATATATATGATAAATAGGATTAATCGATCAGGTCAAACAATATATTACACATAATCAATATTTCCCCGAGTCCTGAAAAGTGGTCCTAAAGAAAGGATAAACAAAAAAATAAAAATTGCAAGACAATGTGATCGTATTTGTAGCTAGAAAAGCAAAAGATACAATGAGATGAATAAACATATTGCAGTGCAAACTTTCCCCGCTAACCCCCCAAAACGATGATCACTGCTAGTATCGTCACAATAAAATTTCTAAATCCAGTAGAAATCGTGGATTCGTGCTAACTACATTAATTGTAACAAAAGCATGTCTGGCTAATCCAGGAAAAAGTAGAATTATATGTTTTGTTGTACCTTCCTTTTTAGTGGTAAAAGTCTTACTCGAGGCATTCCCATAACCTGCAGCATTTTTTGCGTACAATTTGACAACATAAATTTTGTTTTTGGTGAGACCAGGAATAGTGAAATGCTTATGTTTCCAGGAAGCGATGATATAGGTCTTTGAGTTAATTTCCACTTTGTATTCAGTCAATTTACTACCACCATTGTCAACTGGTTCTGCCCACCGTACAACAGCAGAAGAAGCTTCGATATCTGTAACATTAAAGCTTGGAGACCCCGGTGGAACTTTAAAAAAGCAAAAATACCCATTTACAGTAGAAACCGTTGCATGTCGACTTCAATGTTCAAAGAAAATCGTTGGGATTTAGGTGTTTCTGCGGCTTGCGGGCGGAGCTTGATACAAATCAACCAATGATTGAACGAGTTTTCGAAAAGCTCCGCCCCTTAGATCCAAGGAAAGAGCAAAATCCAGACAAACTTCAAGACAAAGAAGCCGCAATGCAACGATTTCAGCTGTAATGACGATGTATAACTATATACCGGTTTATAGACAATAAATTATTGTTTTTGTTCTTTGTATTCTATTGATTGGATTGTATAGACCCCACTGTATATACATTATTCATAACGTTTTTAAAAAAATAACTTACAAAGTTGTAGCACATTGATATTGATTGAGTCGCTACCAGCAATGTTTGCTGCTCTACAAATGTAAATCCCATAATCACCACTCTCTTCTGTCAGCACTGTCACCTCACTACCATTAGTAATATTACGGACATTGGTAATACGGTTACCATTGGGCTTGTACCATGTCCAGGTTGGACTGGGTAGTGAGCTGGAAAGATTGCACCTCAGGGTTATGGTGCTACCAGACCAAGAACTTATTTTAGCAGGCGACAAAGGTTTTAAAATCGTTGGCTTGTCTGAGCAAATTGAAATTTTAAAATATTACAAATATTAATTGTCTGAACAAATTGAAATTTTAAAATATTTACAAATATTAATTTTCCCAAAAATATAAGGATCGTCTACGTAATTAAAAGAAGTATATTGTCCGAGACTTTGGATCAGTCGATACAACATATATGTACCGCATATATTTAACTTCGTCATAAGAAATGATCGGTACCGAAGAAGGACATATTGATCTTTCTTTTGGGAATCATTCTCAAGCGCAAAATGAGATCATCTGCTGAAATGTTTTTGTCATGAGTGGAGAGATGTGCGTATGCTGACTTATGACTGGTTTTGAACAATATAAAAGAATTTGTGAAAAATCGGGCAACAAGCATTATTTATAATTAAAACTTATTTAAACAATTTAAAAATAGCAAGGGACTGGTGACTAGTCACAAACTCAAAACCGTTTGAAGCAAACAAAAAACAATTACCAGAACAAGAAAGGGCATACTAAAATTGGCAAAGCTGCTGATTTTGAGAGTATTCTGATTAATAATTACAGAGTTTCAATGGTTTAAAACTCGGAAAAATTACAAAGAATCTATGGAGCTCTTGAGCAGCGTCCCCAAAAAGCATACATTCTCTTTTACAAATTTAAAAAAATTCCTCCTCGGTGAGTATTTAATCAAGTTTGCTCAAACTTGACAAGAACACTAATTTTAGTGTGGTCTTTCACGTGGTGAGGTTCAGTTTTCGATGAATGTAATATTTTCATACTCGTTCCCAGTCTCCTTTTGAATGCCGGAATGGCCAATTGAATGCGTTTGATATATTTTCAGAGATTTTAGATGGTATTCTTAACTAGAATCATAGAATCTTGTAAATCTCGAGCGCCGCTTCGCGTTGCGTGCAAACCTTGTTTCATTCACTGAGGAAGGTCATATCGTTTTGACCGAAACGTCTGAATCACCAACGTTTTTAACATAAAGATAGTGTCAAAAATACGTGTTTCGGATTATTTTTTGTTCTTACTGTTTTACTTACAGTTGACAATAAGAAGAGTTCTAGCTCTGACCAGCTTCTCATTTGGGTTATTGGATGCATGGCACTCGTACGTCCCACTTTGATTTCTTTGAATGTTGGTTAAGCTTAGAACAGCAGTTCCTATACCCCTGATAATAGGAACTTTAGAAAATTGCTGAACATGTAACCATGTGACATTTGGTGTTGGTTGACCAACCGCTGAGCAATTCATATTCAAGTCCATGTGTTCAATGGTTATAGTTGTTGCATTTGGCTTTTTTATAAACGATGGTATTTCTAGAAAGAATATAGAGGACGATTGTAAAATTCATGATCCGCTTCCATTTTCAACAATCATCAGTTTGAGGTTTTGATGAACATGTTTTATTTTATTTTATTTTTTTTTTTTTTACTATGATATTATAATCAATCTGGTTTGTATCACTATCAAAATGGTTACCATTATCATATATCTTTAAAAAAAAAAACAATTAAACAGAAAATAAAATTAAAACGAAACGAAACGAAACGAAACAAAAAGACGAAAATGAAAAATCGATTGGAACAAATTTGTACAAATTGAAGCTCTTTCAAAATTATTGATTTGCTGCATCACACACCTGTAACAATCAGTTTAGCTTTGCTTGATGGCATCGAACTGATAGAACCACTGAGTAAAAACAGTGTGCAGACATATGTACCAGAATCAGCCCGAGTCACATTAGTGATGACCAAAGTAGCTCTACCCTCCGCACTCACTCGTACTGTGGGTGTTAGTAACCGAAGTGGACAAGTTTTTAAGCTGATCTTAAATTTCCATCCATCAAATCCGTCACCATACCCAATCATATAACTGTAATTATGGAAATACCATCTTGGTGATTGGGAATCAAACTCTTTGTCGATATTATCGACTTGGTAGTCCCACGTTAACTTAGCAGTTTGACCTTTAACTATGTACAGCTTTTCTTCAGGATGTTTGGTGAACCGAGCTGCTGCATCTGATAATAGAAAGCGTTAGATTAATGCAGTTTTAAGCTCATCCTGAAGCCATGTTCACCACAAACGACCCGGAAATTAATGCTGAGTGTTATTGAAGATAATCTAAATAAATATAACGGGATGTATATACGAAAAATAAATGGGCTACTGTAATTATTTGCAAGTTAATTGATAAGCTTTTTTAAATAGGCAGGCAGGCATACTAAAGGTCGATTCTAGTATAGTGATAACAGCGGTTTCTTATATGACCTCACTAAAAAATGAATGATTTCATATAGGGCAGTTTATCTTATAATTATCTATGAAATACCTATATTTCTTCATTACGCAAAATTGATATTTTCACTAGTGAAAATAACACATTCGAGGTTTCTCTATATAGTGGAAGTAAGAAAAAAGGTATTTTAAGACATAACTTGCTTTCATATTTAATTATATGATAAACAGAATATTACATGGTCGCTTGGGGATACAAATTTTATCTTCTCGTGTTGAAAATCTCTCACTCGTTCGCTACGCTCACTCGTGAGAGATCTTTTCAACACTCGAAGATAAAATCCGTATCTCCGCTTTGAATACATTCGGTTAAAACAGTTATGTTTACCTAAATTTTACTTTGATAAGGCAGTCGTCACTGTCTAATACACTAATATTCGATATAACATTAATTCAGTACTCTTAGCCGTTTTCTTTCTTTGTAAGTCGTAGTAGTTCTTGAAAGATATCTAGAAACTTTAGCAATGTCTAACCTGCTAACTGGAGTAAAATGAAGCCGAAAAGAAGAGCACACAATCCTCGTTCCATCTTGTTGAACGAATAGTGTTTACTGGCTGCTGCTACTTCAGTCAAAGTCTACTGCTGTGTTCATGTATTCAAAAATGTTGTTCAGCAATCCGTAATACACATTGTAACTGTAGAGAATCTGAGATCAACTATTTTGATAATTTTGTTGAAATAATAATGAAACCGTTCTATAACTATATACGCAAATTTGTGACGGTTCTTTTGGTCATATGGTTTGAAGCACAAACACATAACGTAATGTATAGTAAACAAATGCATTGACTTCCGCATGGTAACGTTATCTTACCGAGAAGTCACGCTTTATCATCAATATTCAACAATTCGAAACTCTTTAAATGAAAACATCAGCTCAGCTGTGGTGTGATCGTTTTCGAATCAATCGTAAGTATATTCTAACTATTTCAACGTAAATTTTTCGCCTCGCTTTTTTTTGTCATTTTAGTGCTGTACTTGAAAAAAAAAAGAAAAAAACGAAAAAGAAATGAAATGATAAGGAAAAAAGGAAAGGAAAAAACTAATTTGCATATAATTAATGTTTTTCGTATTCCCCCAGAAACTTTGAGGCGGTGTCAGCAAACCACTGACGTTTGACAAATCTGTGATTTGTTTGCTTTTAAATTAGAATGATTAATATATATTCTTTGATCGAACCTGTATATATATACACCATTTTAGTATCATGGGATGTTGTAGGGATGTTTCCTAACATTGATAACAACTTAGGACTGACTGCGGTTAAAAAGGCTCTTAATACTAGGACAACTAAAATACCATCTACAAAGTGTATCCTTGACGCGGTTAAGATTTGCCTTGAAAGTAATAATCCGCAGTTTAGGAATAATTCATATTTACAATGTCATGGTACGGCTATGGGTCCGAAAAATACTTGTAGTTATGTGGATTTAGCAATGGGAGAAATAGATAAGTTAGCTAAGTTAGGTGATATTAAACCTTTTTTCTGGTGGAGATATAGGGACGATATACTAGATTTTTGGACGTTAGGTGAGGAAAAATTACAGGAATTTACTGATTATATTAATAATCTTTATCCTACGATTAAGTTTACTTGTACGCATTCCAAGGATAAATTTAACTTTTTGGATTTAACTTTACATTTAGTGAATGGTAGGATAGAGACCGATGTATATTCTAAACCTACCGATAGTCATTTATATTTACCACCATCTAGTTCGCATCCGTACAATTGTATCTATTCTATTCCATATAGTGTAGCTCTTAGAATTAAGCGAAATTGTTCTAATGATTTGTTTTATGAAAATAGGTCAGCTGAATATAAGAATTATTTGATTAACCGGGGGTAAAACAAGAAATTAGTTCATAAGCAGTTTGAAAAAGTTTCATCGCTTGATAGAAGTAGTCTTTTAAAGGTTAAGAAAAGACCTAAGTTTAGYAACGTTATAMMTTTAGTTACAGATTTTAATACAAATTTACCTAATGTTGATAAGATTTTAAGACGTAATTTRCACATTTTAGAGTCTACAGATTCACCATTCTCACGTTGTCTCATATGAGATTTCAAWAGATTTTCAATCATTGAGATAATATTTACAATTGTAATTGTAATTGTAATTTTAATCCAATTGTACAATTACATTTTTCCTCTCCTCGATTATATTAATTGCATCACGCAKTGGTTACGTTAGCGTATGCTTGCAGGCTCTGGTAAACACTTGGGTGATTACGTAAGGCTTGGTAGGTGTGCTGATCATTACGTTCACTAGAGCCGACGCCWCRCACTGGTTCGTATGTTGGTACGGCATCTGCAGGGCTTTGCAGGGTGCGAGGGTTAAGTTGCTGATAATGCTCTTGATTTGGATCCCTGGTCCTAGCACTTGACTGATTCACTGTTTGAGGCAAAGATGTCATTCCCAGGGCATGAGCATTCTGTAAACAGCATTTGATAAAGAATCATAATGAAGAATGAATCATTATTATTTTTCACGTAAACAAAGAAAAGTCAAGATTGCGTTCCTTTGGTTTTTGAGGTTATTTACATACTTGTGCAARTCASTATGKCTGATTTAGTACCATGTGAMYGTTTCATGCAAAAKAATCATTCTTTTAGAGACRTCAATCACCAGATACYTGACAATYASCCCTAAAACCTRTACGACGAKTATYACCGCGTATCGATATATGTGAGTCTCAGGMCTTTTTAAAGTGAAAAAAGAAAGCGTTTKAAATASTATACGCTTGTTATTRGCTRGTTATAGACATGGTTTGTTGATTGKGCTCACRCACAAAAATCACTGTACGACACTGMTCAGCTCGTATTCAGWGGCTGGCTTATCTACTTTTCTTAGCTTACTTTGATAAGCATATATACTTTGATTATAGAGTTTTGCTAAAGATGCAATAATTTT